TTCTACTGTCCTCAGACCCTGAAACATCTGGTTCGACTGTCCTCAGTCCCTGAAACATCTGGTTCTACTGTCCTCAGTCCCTGAAACATCTGGTTCTACTCTTCTCTTCTGTCATTTAAAAAAATGTTTTACATTAGAAAGTTGTAATTTTTTGAGAAACTGATTTAGAAGTTTCTGCAGTCAGATTCCAGAAGCTGAAGCTTGTCCTCGTTTTTTCTTCTTCTGAAGAAATTGGACTTTGAGGACTTCATTAGACAGAGGTGAGTAAATGTTTTTGTGCTCTGAGCTCCAGAACACCTGTTCAGTTTTTTACCGTCATGTTTTTAACAAACGTATGGATCTCAGCTCAGAGCTTCACATTATAAAGTTTTTATCCTCTAATCTCTCATTCTTCCTTCTTTATTTCATCCTCAGTGAAATAAAAGTCAAATAAAACTCTATCACTTTGCTGAGGGATCCTACGGGACCCTCTTAAGGGCCCCTGAGGGCCCCCCAAGCTGCAGTTTGGTTACATTCAGTCCAGCCCACATTTACAGACTCTGGTAATGATGCTTGTTTGTTCAGCAGTCTGTAAATCAAACCAACATTAGAGCTGTCACCAGATCCACTGTGGACCTGCAGACCATCACTAATACTCTGAGACCATGGACGCGGATCCATACCCTGCCTCACCACCACCACCACAAAAAGCAATCCAGTCAATCACCAACACTAGACCCTCCCTCCCCCAACCCAAAACCCAATCTATTTAACCACCAACACTAGACCCCCCACCACCAAACCCCAATCAACTCAACCAACACTAGAACCCCCACCACCAAACCCCAATCAACTCAACCAACGCTAGACCCCCCACCACCAAAAACCTAATCAACTAAACCAACACTACACTCCACACCACCAAAACCCCAATCTATCCAACCATCACTTCACCCCCACCACCAAACTCCAATCAACTCAACCAACACTAGACAACCCATCACCAAAAAAAGAAAAAACAATCACCTCAACCAACACTAGACCCCCAACACCAAATACGTACCTAATCAACTCAACCAACACTTGACCCCCCACCACCAAACCCCAATCAACTCAACCAACACTAGACCCCC